CTGCTGGGGAGCGTCTAGTAGTGCTGGCGGGGAGCATCTAGAATGGTGCTGGCACGCGTCTAGTATGCTGCTGGGGAGCATCTAGTAGTGCTGCTGGGAGCGTCTACTATGCTGCTGGCGAGCGTCTAGTAGTGCTGGCGGGGAGCGTTTACTATGCTGCTGGGGAGCATCTAGAAGTGCTGCTGGCGCGTGTCTAGTAGTGCTGGAGGGAGCGTCTAGTAGGCTGCTGGCGAGCATCATGTATGCTGCTGGGGAGCGTCTAGTATGCTGCTGGCGAGCATCTAGTAGTGCTGGCGGGGAGCGTCTAGTGTGCTGCTGGGGAGCGTCTAGTAGTGCTGGCGGGGAGCGTTTACTATGCTGCTGGGGAGCATCTAGAAGTGCTGCTGGTGCGTGTCTAGTAGTGCTGGAGGGAGCGTCTAGTAGGCTGCTGGCGAGCATCATGTATGCTGCTGGGGAGCGTCTAGTATGCTGCTGGCGAGCATCTAGTAGTGCTGGCGGGGAGCGTCTAGTGTGCTGCTGGGGAGCGTCTAGTATGCTGCTGGGGAGGGTCTAGTAGTGCTTGCGTGGGGGCTATTTGTGCCGTGTGGGTGCTGTCCGTGCCGTGTTCATGCCGTGCGGGAGCTGTCCATGCCGTGCGGGAGCTGTCGGGGCCTGGCGGGGGCTATCCGTGCCGGGCGTGGGCTGTCAGGGCCTGATGGGGGCTGTCATGGCCGGGTGGGAGCTTGCGGCGCTGGGTGGGGGCAGTCCGTGCCGTGTGGGGGCTATCCGTGCCGTGCGGGGGCTGTCCGTGCCATGTGGGGGCTGTTTGAGCCATGCGGGGGCTGTCCATGCTGTGTGGGAGCTGTCCGTGCCGTGCGGGGGCTGTCCGTGCAGTGTAGGGGCGGTCCTGCCGTGCGGGGGCTGCCCGTGCCGTGGGGGGACAGTTCGAGTGATGAGGGGACTGTCCGTGCCGCGGAAGGGCTGTCCGTGCCATGCGGGGGTTGTCCATGCCATGTGATGGCTGTCTGAGCAGAGCGGGGCTGTCCGTGATGTGTGGGGGCTGTCCTTGCTGTGCAGGGGCTGTCCGTGCCATGTGGGGGCCCCGTAGCCCCGTAGCCCCGTAGCCCCGTAGCCCCGTAGCCCCGTAGCCCCGTAGCCCCGTAGCCCCGTAGCCCCGTAGCCCCGTAGCCCCGTAGCCCCGTAGCCCCGTAGCCCCGTAGCCCCGTAGCCCCGTAGCCCCGTAGCCCCGTAGCCCCGTAGCCCCGTAGCCCCGTAGCCCCGTAGCCCCGTAGCCCCGTAGCCCCGTAGCCCCGTAGCCCCGTAGCCCCGTAGCCCCGTAGCCCCGTAGCCCCGTAGCCCCGTAGCCCCGTAGCCCCGTAGCCCCGTAGCCCCGTAGCCCCGTAGCCCCGTAGCCCCGTAGCCCCGTAGCCCCGTAGCCCCGTAGCCCCGTAGCCCCGTAGCCCCGTAGCCCCGTAGCCCCGTAGCCCCGTAGCCCCGTAGCCCCGTAGCCCCGTAGCCCCGTAGCCCCGTAGCCCCGTAGCCCCCGTAGCCCCGTAGCCCCCGTAGCCCCGTAGCCCCGTAGCCCCCGTAGCCCCGTAGCCCCCGTAGCCCCCGTAGCCCCGTAGCCCCCGTAGCCCCGTAGCCCCCGTAGCCCCGTAGCCCCCGTAGCCCCCGTAGCCCCGTAGCCCCCGTAGCCCCGTAGCCCCGTAGCCCCGTAGCCCCTGTAGCCCCGTAGCCCCGTAGCCCCGTAGCCCCGTAGCGCCGTAGCCCTGTAGCGCCGTGGCCCTGTAGCCCCGTGGCCCTGTAGCCCTGTGGCCCTGTAGCCCTGTGGCCCTGTAGCCCTGTGGCCCTGTGGCCCTGTAGCCCTGTGGCCTAAGATGGAGAAGGCACAATAGCGTTTTGATTGTGGTTGGGAAAAGATGCTTTAGCCAACATGTTTGTTGTGAGTTACTCATCCTGCTCAATGTTTTGTATGCGTTTGATAGCTTTGCGGCCTACTTTAGGGGGTTTGACCCAAAGGTCAGTCATTAGGCCTCCGAAACCCCGTACGGGAAGCCATACGAAGGTGGCGAACGGCCTCTGGAATGTTCTAGAGTGTCTGGATTGTTCTAAAATTACGTTGGCAGCTTCTGGCAGCTGCCGTAGTAGGATCTGGCAGGCCAATAGTAGGTTGTCGTACAAATGTCGTCCTTTTCCCATTAGTATAAAAGGCTGAGTTTTGTGGTATTTTATTTAACCAGTCAAACCAGTCTAACCAGTCCAAGACCCTAACCCAGGTCGGGTAGGCAGATGGTTCCGGCAAAGGCCCGATAGCCCTTCTCCCCTTTCTGGTAACAAGTCAAGGCCAAGCAAGACTCTTTCTCTCCTGTCAACAAGGGTCACACCACCAGGGCCCTTCATGCTCGCACGTCTGGAAGGTCAGCAACAGCCCCTTCCCTCTTCTGTACCTGTACCTCTGCTTGCCACTGCAACCAAGTGCTTGGTACGGCAACAACAACCTACGGTCCCCAACTGCTGATAAGTCTTAGGTGGACATACGTGCCTGGATATTACCCCATTACATAACTTTCGCACGCATAGCCAGTCTCAGCCAGTCTCGGTATATAGCCCCACTAGTAGCCTTAGGTCCACATACGTTAGCAGAGGTAGTGTGGTTAAAGTGTAGTGTGTCGGCTGTCAATCAATACCTCCATCCGTCTGCTGTCAACTCCATTCCTACTTATCGGCCATCTGAAGATGCCATACAGTGGGTGGAGAGGCTTGAACGTCTTGGTCGCATGTATGCTTGGTCTGACGCCAACAAGCTGGACGTTGCTGTTTGCTTGCCGGCTTGGCAACACTGCGGCTACTTGGTTCTATGGTGTGGAGGCCACCGTCAACACTTGGGATCTGTTCAAGACGGCCTTTCTGGAGCGGTTTGGCGAGGTCAAGGAGGATCTGCATAGCTGTCTAACCCGCTGTCAACAAGGAAGGGGCGAGTCCGTCCGTGCGTATGCTGACCAGTTCAGGGAGCTGGCTACCCGTCTGCGCATTAACCTTAACGCAGACCCAGTGCACCTGTACAGCTTCCTACAGGGTCTAGCCTCCCATGTCTACAGCCGCGTGTACCTCATGCGCCCGACAACATTCGAACAAGCGGTTAGGGATGCCATCTACATTGATGAAGGGGTTCGGCGTCTTGTCTTACAAGAGGACTCTGGCGTACGGCAGGTTGCACCACCGCTTGGCCACCAAGAGTGCTGTACGTGCAACATTCATAGCAACGCCGTACCCTCGAGTCCCAGGCGCCCGTACGAACCCCCATACCGTCACGACGCCATGCCGCCATACCATCAGGCCCGTCAGGACGTAAAATCCCGGCATGATAGCCCTCGGCCGTCCACGTCTAGCCCTGCTGCTACACCGCTCGAGTCCCAGGTGGCCAACCTAGCGAAGCAGATGGCGCACCTCACCCTGCTGCTGGAGGGTGGACCCCAGGCGCATTACTGCAACCCGACCCCATGTCCGCAAGGCCTTTTAGAGCCGGAGTATGAGGACCTATGGGAGTTGGAGCCTGAGCCTTTTCTGTACGAGGCCTGTCCACAAGCACCTTCTGCTAGGCCGTTCACTACGGCGCCGCCAACCCATGGCCCGCGCAACACATCATCGCCAATGGCTATTCGTCAGCTCACCCCGGCACCATTGCCTGCTGCACCGCGTCCGGCTACGGCCCGTCCGGCCAACGCCGCTCAGCTGTACGGCAGCCACACATTGCCGTACAGAGGCACGTTTGGCAAAATTTCATCGTGAGGCTCTACGATTACCAGCCCTAGGAAAGGCTCAAAGAACATTTTTTGGTCATTTTCCCCGTTAAGAAATGTGCCATTTTCAGAAATATTTCAAAAAAAGAAGGAAGATAGAAACGCTGAGCCTGCCCTACGTTGCCGGGGTCTTGCCCTTCCATAATGCTTGAGGGGTTCTTCAGTCTTAAGAGTGTTGAAGAGGCGTGGGGACAGCAGAGTGGCAGCTAAAACTCCTTTAATGCTGCGCCATGAGTAGATTGAATACTGACTGCCTTTCATAACGCTCTATGCGTCTGGAGGAGAAAGGCAAATGGGGGCGGGAGGGTAGGCTAGAGGAAGGGAGGAATTTGTGGGCGCGGGGAGAAGGAAAGGGTAGGGGGAGACGGGAAGGAGGTTGAGGTGAGAGGGAGGAGCATTGGGTAGGGGCCATGGCAGGCAGGCAGGCACCCGTCCTCAAGCTCGGGGCGCTATCTTCATATTCCCACGCATTCGGGTGCGTGAGCTGCCTAAACTTTGCTTTCCAATGCCGTTCCACGCCCAAAATGGTTAACCGCCGCCTGGAGATTTCTCCAAGAGCTGTCCACAGGTGCCTATGTTGCACCGTTTTGTGAACACACATAAGCAAGACGGTGGCTGGCGGGCACCTGAGTCTACCAGGTTCACTAAAAAGGCTAAACGAATTTGCCGTCTTTGTCCGCGTTGGATGCATGCAAGGGAGGAGACGCTCGGCCTCCCCTGTGCTGTATGTGCAGCAGCAACACAAGCACACAAATGCCCGGACCTGAAGCTTTGCGCTTTCCGCAGCTTTCTCCACTAGATGGCGTGCCATGTGGAGGACTTCACAGGGTCTGTGCCCTGCTCAGCAGGGTGCTCTGTCTCACCGTAGCATACCGGTATTAGCATGCAAAGAGCGTCAAGACAAGGTATGTGCCTTGGTGACTCAAAGCAACCAAGAAGACCAAATTGGGGCTAAAGTCGTCTACATTCTACGCAGGCGTCTAGGCACGTGGTACATCAAGAATGGTCAGCCGGTTCAGGCAAATGGACCAAAGGAGTAGCAACCTGTCTTCAGTTCAAAAATACAAACAGCCTTTCTATTAAGGACGGGGCCAGCAACTCGAGGGTGTTTCCGTGCGCAGCGAATCCCGCCGGCCAGCTGGAACCAGGCCGTACAAGGTTGGAGCGGGTCATTGATCCTTAGGAAAGGAGCGAAGGGGTCGCCGTTACCTTTGCTGCCACCGGTAATGTGGCCTGCTGTGATGAGCTATGATGTATCGGGCACGTAGGCTAATATCTTTGAGCCGACGTCATGGCTTCTATGGCCTCGCCACACGCCCGTCCCACAACACTTCATGCTATAAAATAATAATTGACTATACCTAAAAGACCGGTTTCATATGCCTTGTTAAAATGGACGATGACTTCTTTGCTGAGGCCTATGGTCATGAAAGCGCTTTTGGTCGCACAATAATGGAACAGCAGACAACACTAGACATTGTAGATGACTGTCTACAACAGCTGGCTGGATGCACGGACGCCGTTGATAAGCGCTGGCGAATTGGAGTTGCCTCTTTCGGTTTTGACGCGTTTGAGGATGCGGAAGACGCTAGCGCTAGCTCCGCCGTCATGTCGGCACGCTCTATAATGTCGCAACTCCGGGCGGCCCTTGACCAAAGTTGTACAAGGGCCTCTGACACCATCCTAATGGTGAGTGAAAACGAAAAGTCAACCTTAATCGTCGGCTTACCGCCTGCCCGCTCGAATTTGTCATGTCCGGAGGCTTCCCTTTCCCTTGGTCCCAATAGCCACTTCCTACGCCCAACCATCCTCGGGCCCAAGCATGCTTCAGTCCCAGACACTCTCACCTCGTGTGCCCTCCTGCCTTTTGCGACCTTGCGCCCTCCACCTCAATAATACATTCTACACTCCCCCCTCGGCTTCCCAAGGAGCTGGATGCCATACAGGGCCACGTGCAATCCCATCCGCCCCTGGGCGCTCTGCTGCTGCAGCAGCTCTGCCACGCCCTTGAGGCCAACACCACCGGCAGCAGCAGCACCCCCTGGGCAACCACCGCTCGTACCCTGAATTTCAGCGGCGGCAGCCCTCGTGCTGCCACCGCCCCTCCTCTTCCCCAGCATCAGCACCACCACCACCACCACCAGCAACGGTATCCTCACCACCAGCAGCAGCAGCACCCCTGCAACCACCAGCAACAGTGCCCTTTGCAGCAGCAGCCTTTAGCAAATGGCCAAAGCAGCGCCATGGAGGGAGAAGCAGGCGGTGATGGTGTTTCCAGCTCCGGCGGTGGTGGAAGGGGTCCTGCGGACCTGCTGATCGCTGCCTCGGTGTTCAGCGCTGCGCCGGGGCGGTACGGCACTGCTGCTCTGCAGGCGGTGGCGGCGGTGGTGAGGAGCAGCAGGTAAGGCAGGGTAGTGGGGGAAAACGGGAGAGAGGAGTGATAATGTTGTTTTGGCAACTTGTTTAATGAGCCTATCTGCAAACCGGGTAGCAAGTAGGGTGAGGGAGTGCATGCGGGTGGGTAGGCGGGGCAGGGTGCAGGGAGCAGTACGATGCGGGGATGGTTGCTGTGGGATGTCTCCCTCACTGATGGCAGCTGGGCCCAGCAGCCGCAAATAGCCTCGCTGCCTAACCCGGGCCCGTTCCAAATGACTGATGTACCCTGCCCCCTGAGGTCAAGAAATCCCAACCTTATGTGCTTCTTCTTCCTCACCCTATGCCTCTCACCTCACCTCCGCGGCGCCTCCCCTCGGCACCTGGCCTTCGCTCCCTGCCCCGCCGCAGCCCCCACCAGCTGAGCAGTTGGGCAGGATGCTACCACGCCCTGGGCCTCACATTCGTCACGGACTGGCTCACAGAGGCGGCACTCGGCTGGCTGGCGGCACCGCCGCCGCCGCCACCACCACCACCCGGCTTTGCCGCGTATGCCGCAGTTGACGGCGCAACAGCAGCAGCGGAGGCCGGAGGCTCTCCTCCTTTCCACGACCGTCGTACCACAATGGGTACGGCAGCGGGAGTGACGACTTGTCGTACAGCCATGTCCAGGCGGTGCTGCGGTGGGGCGCTGCTGGCAGCGCTGGCGTGGAGCTGTCCTCAGCTTGCGAGCAGGGTGTTGGCGCTTGTGTTTGGCCGGGTGGCAGGGGGCAGCTGTGGAGGGGAGGACCCGCAAGAGGTGGAAGATGGTGACAGGGGAGGAGGAGGTGGACAAGGGTGCGTCGGCGTAGACGGAATCCGCAGCAGTATCAGCAGCGCCAAGGCGGCCCTGTGGGATGTCTTGGAAGCAATCACACGGGACGCGGCGCGGGTGCTAGCCATGGCTGCGAAGCTTCGTAAGCTTGAGCAGCAGGAGCAGCGCCGGCAGCAGAAGCAGCAGCAGCGGCGGTGGCGGAACATGGGGGGTGGTGGTGGTCATGGCGCCGGCGGGGGCAGCGGCCGTGGGGTCCCTGTCGGCAGGTATGAGGACTATGACGGCGGTGGCGAATGCTTTCTCAACGATGAGGATGGCGGTCATTGCGACAACAACCAAGACCCACTGGCTATGGTTTCAGAGCTATGCGGCGACGCGGATGCATTCGGGCGGCTGCTCTGTCAGGCGCTGGAGCTGCTGCCGATCCTGCAGGAGCACGCGGCTTACGTGGGCTGCATGCCGGCAGCAGCTGCCGTACGTATCGTACGGCTTGTGGGCCCCCTGATGCCGTACAGTGAGCCCCTGGCGGAGGCGCTGCTGCTGGCGGCTGCCAGTCGAGCTGCTGACGCCGCGGCTGCTGCGGAGGCCGCGGCGGAGGTTACTGCTGTGGCGGAAACCAGAGCTGCAGTACAGAGGCCATCGCCGGGCGGTGATGCAGCAGCTGCTGCGGGGTGGCAAACGCCGGGGCGCATTCAGGGTTCGCAAAGGGGCGTAACGGGTAGGTTAAGCGGCGCAATGATTCCACAGCACCCCTCATCTTCACTTCTCCTCCTCCTCCTGCCTTTTGAATCGACCGACTCCAGCCAAATCCCCACCGGTCCACCCAACCCCGCCCTCCGTTTTCGCCGCCCCCAGGGTTTGCCAGCGCCCGGTACGGCAGCAGCGGTCCTTCCTTCTCCGCCGCGACCGCCACCTGCGGGGGCCGCGCGGGGGCTCGCACCTGCAGCCGCATGTCGCTCGCCTCGGCCTCCATGATGCTTGCGTCTGAGGGCTCGCCCGCCCCCTCCTCATGGGCGCTGCTGGACAGCCGGCTGACGCTGACGCCGGGAGCAGGAGCGGGGGGAGCGGAGCGGATGCGGTTCGGGGGGTGGTCGGCAGGTAGGCAGGAAGGGGGTTTCCTGGAGGTTGAGGGTTGCAAGCAAACGTGCAGTCTGTACGGAGCAAAGGGCTTTCCTACTTCTCAGACGGACGTAAGAAACAACAAATCCAGGCTGCACATAAGAAGCAAATCCACGTTTTCTTCCCCGCTGTTATCCGCTTCCAGGCTTCCAAGAAGACGATGATGCTACAGCCAGCTCCTTGCCGCGATGGGCTGCCGGCGCCGCATCCGCTTTTGCCGGACCCTCCTCCTCGGCAGGGGCCATGGCAGCTGCTGCAGCTCTCGGCGCCGGCAGCAGCAGCAGCGCTTCCGTCGTCACAGACCCAGGCGACGCGGAGGTGGGCTTGGAGGCGTTTTGTGCCGTCGTACTGTACTGCAGGCGCCTTCCGGCTGACCTGGCGGCTACCGCTGAGGAACTGCTTGAAAGCCTGCTGCAGCTGGCTTGTGTTGGCTGCGGCGGCGGCTACGGCGGCCCAGCTGGTCACTACCTGCATGCGGCTGGCTCGGGTTGCGATCCTGGTAGCAGGCCTGGCAGTGGTGTTGGTATTGGATCTGGATCCAGCAGCGCAGACCTGCATGACAATGCGGGTCTTGTTGTCGTACATGGCGCGTTGTCGTACATTGGCAGCAAGATCCTGGCTCGCGTGCAGGCTGCCATTGCTGTGGCGGCAGAGGTGGAGGAGGCAGCGGGTGAGGGGGGTGGTGAGGATGATGACAACAACGACAACGCTGCCGCCGAAGAGGTGGATGTGCGGGCGTTATGGTGTTCTAGACTTGCGGATGCAGTTCGGAGCTGTCTAGCGGCGAGTCGCGATGATGATGCGGGGGCTCTCGGGGACTGCGTGAGGGCTGCGGGTTGCACCGCCGCCGGGTGCACTGCGAGGGCAGCCGCAGCGGGGACAGCGGTAGTGGCGGGAGGTCGACACGGCGGCGAGGACTTTGCGAGGAGGAGCCATGCAGACGGCACCGGCGGCGATGCGTGGCAACGACCTCCTGCGCCATCATCCCTCGCAAGCTGCCTGCAGTGGAGATTGGCCGGGAACAAGGGTGGCGGCAGCGGCAGTCCGTGCAAGGGAGTGCAGGGGCCATGCAAGGCTGCAAGTCTCGGTGCGGCGGCGGCAGTAGTACGGCAGCAGAGGGATGGCGATTGTGAGGCCGGCGGCAGCGGCAGCATGCATGCAGCGGCTCGGCGAGTCTTGGTGGTGCCGCCGCTGGGCGCAATGATACGTTGCTTGAGCCAGGTAGGGCCGTGTAGCAGGGGGCCCGAATGCTCCACGCTTGCTGCAGAGCTTATTACCGTGGGGTATAACGCATTCCAGGAGTTTTGCATCTGTCATTCTTGTGTTCCGCACCACCGCAATATTCCACCCTGGCCCTGCCCCTCTGCAGACCCTGGTGGCTGCCAGCTTGCGCCGCCGCGACGCACCCAGCCCGCATCAGCAGCCCTCCGCCAGCGCCCCGCCTACTGCAGCAGCGGCCGGGCTGCGACCCGTGACCCATGGGTTGTCGCAGCCGTCGCGTTGGGAACTGGACACAACGCTGTTCGAGGACCAAGTTGCCGTACTGGCTGAGCTGTTCGCACATGCCGTGTTTGATGAGTACGACCATCATCCATTGCGGTCATCGCGACCTGATGGCTCATGTCGGGGCCCTCTGGAGTTGGCTGCTGCAGCTGGCATCAGCGCTGATGCTGCACAGGATGACGCAGCAGTTGTAGCAGCTACGCCTTCTCGTCTGCCAGCAGGGGCTGTTGCGGGGACTGGGAGATGCCTTACTGGAGGGTTCTGCATGGAGGCGGTTGCTGCGCTGCTGCAGCTGCGCATGCAGGTAGGTGGCCCCCGGTATCATGACCTGCTTGAGGCTTGCTGGCCCCGTAATATGTACCGGTACCACCTACATGCTGCCTGGCTTAGGCTGCGTGTTTTCCCTAATTATGCTGCTGCCAAGCGCAGGAGCCCCAACACAGCTCCCCCTCGCCCCTCCTTTTTTGGTCCTCCCATCTTAACCCCTCCCTGCCTCCCTCCTTCCCAGGTCCTCGCTGCTCTTACCGAGGCACTCCTGCAGGCCCCAACAGGGCTAGGCATTGCCATACTCAGAGCTGCAGCCCCCTTGCTACCGCCATCGCCGCCGCCACTACAGCAACCCGTTGCCGACCGCGCAGCCGCCGCCGCCGGTACCCCCGTCAACGTCGCCGCTTACCGATGCGCGGCATCAGCTGCGACCCCGCTATCCGTAACGGCTCCCGGTCGCCAAAATGACGGCGGCGGAGGCGCTGCCGGCGGAGGCGGCAGCGATTTCTTACACCGTGGTTGCTCTGCGGCGACCTCATTTGCCGCAGGCTCTGCCAGTGGACGTGGACCTCCCTCCTCCTCCTGCGGGGGAGTGCACAGCAGCATGGCACCGTCTGCCGTGCATAAGGCTGCTGCCAGCGTCGTCGTCGTCAGCGAGGCACCGACGCTTCCGGGCGGCGGCGGCAGCAGCAGATGCACTGGTTCGCTGGCGGCGGCTGGTGCAGCGGCGGCGCCGCCGCCGCCGGTAGTAGGCATGGCGGCAGCGCAGCCGCCGCTGTGCAGCGGACATGACGACGCAGCATTTCCTGGCGGCGGAGGAGGAGGTGGAGGCCTGACCGCGGCACAGATTGCCGTACGGCATGCCGTCCAAATGGCGCACATGTGCATTACGGACGGAGCTCAGTTGACTGCATCTGTGCGCCAGAGGGGCTGCAAGGGGCCACCCTCTGCCGCCGCAGCAGAGCCGGATAGCCGATGCACTGGCATGGCTGTGCCGTCTGGGTTTGAGGAAGGGATGAAGGAGGGGCGGGAGGAACGGCGCATAGTGCATGCTGCTGTGGTGGCGGCCCTTGCATGCCACAGTGGGCTTCAAAACATGCTAGACGGACTGCTTCAGCCTTCCCAGCCTCCTTTGTCGTACATTAATGGTGCCGCCGGCAAGCCGAGCAGCAGTCATGAAGTCAACCGTGCCGCCGGGACTGGCGGCATGACTGGAGTGGCGGCGGGGCCTGCTGAGGTAGCAGTCAATGGCGGCGGCGCCAGGGCAGACGTAGCGGTGGCACCCCTCGGCGGCGTTGGCGGCGTTACGGTAGCGGTGCCGCCAGGAGGCGGTTTGGCGGCTTGGACGGCAACCCCAGCAACAGTGGCGGCGGTGATGGAGGCGGACAATACGACGCCGGCGGCGCCGGAAAGCGCCTGTCGTACTCGTCGTACAAGTGGAGCCAGTGGAGGCAGCGGTGCTACTGCCGTCAACGGGTTTTATGTGTTGCGTCGTTCCGCGGCTGGAGTTGCGGGTGGGGCTGGCGCCGCTGCGGTGCCTGCAGCAGCTGCTAACAGCGCACGAGGAGCGGCGGCGGCGGCGCCAATCATTGCCAAGTAAGACTGTGCTCTTTTGCTTGCGCCCTCTCGTACGCCTTATCGCTCTGCTATCGCGTGCGTCACATGCTTTGCCCCTCCGTGTCTGGGGAATACCTGATGTGCCTAGCAACCCGGAGGCAGGTAGCCGCCTCTTGAGCTTGCCCTCTCCCATATCATTCTTCCGACCCATTGTTGTCTGTCTGTCCATCGCAGCACGCCCCGTCCGACGTTGCGCCCGCCCGCCTGCACCGCTGCAGCAGCAGCAGCAGCTGCTGCTGCCATGCCACCCCCACCGCCGCCTGCGACATCACTCTTCCATGCTCGTTCCGAGTGCCGTACACCCGCACCACAGCCCTCCTTCGGCCTAGGCTCGCGGCAACCCGGTTCCAGACACGAGGTAACGCCCACGCCCTCTGGTGTCACTCCTCGCTCGCATCGGCAGCCGCTGCCGCCGCCTGCAGCATCACAGCTGCCGCCCTTGCCGACGGCGGCGCCGACAGAGCCGCCGCCACGCCCCCGAGCACCCCGCTTAGATACCTGGCCGGTTTCCCTGGAAGCCTGTGCGCTACTCGTACGGGAACTGCTGACGCCGCTAGCGCTACCGACACCACCGCTACCGCCGTTGACGGCTGTAGCGACAGCGACCGTCGAGCCGCCGCCGCAGCTGCCGCTGGCGGTACAAGTTCAGCGTTGGCAGTTGCTGGCGTACGGCATAAGCTTGTCGTACGTGCCGCTTGCCGGTGCACGGCGGAAGGCGGAAGAGGAGTGCGCTTTGAAAGCTGCTTTGGAGGAGGCAGCTAGGGTGCATGGAGGCGGTTGTGAGGCTGGTTGTTCCGGGGGCAGTAACGACCACACAGGCGGCAGCAACATGCCACTGCGGGTGCTGTCCCGGTGGCTTCATGCGTTGGGGATGGCGGCTGTGGATGTGATCTTGGCTTGCCGGGAGGCCCGCCGGGTAGGATGGAGGTCTGCTGTGATACGTTGCAGCGCCCACAGACACTGTGGAGGCTTGCTTGCGGAGCGGGGACGCATTGCACTCGCCGCCAGCTAGTTCGCGTTTCATATGGTTATATAGGATCCAAAACACCGTGTCTTTACTCCCTTTCTCGGCGCTCTGTTCTAGTGCCATGCGAACTCTTGTGCTGTGCTCCTGCCTTACAGAAAGCCCAAGACCTTGCTGCCGAGGAGCATCCGCCCCTCCAAAAGCCCGCAGCAGCTGCAGTGACTGCTACAGCTACTGCTACTCCGCGTCAGACGGCAGCGGCCGCAGTGGCGCCTCCTCCTCAGCCGGCGGCGGCGGCAGCTCGATCCTCGGTGCGCTCAGCGACGGTTCACGGCCATTCGGTCAACAGTGCGTGCCACGCCGCTCCTCCGCAACACCAGAGGGCTCCCGAATCCATCTCCTCATGCCCCCATGAACCGTGCCACCAGCAGCACCAGCACCAACAACATCGGCGCTCACAATTGGACGCCAATCCAACAGCTGTCGCTGAGGGCCCCGAGGGTGCGCAGGCTGCTGGTGGCGGAGGTGGTGCTGGTGGTGGTGGCGGCGACCTGGGCACTGGAAGTGCAGCAAGAGCAGCAGCGGTGCGCAAGGCCGCTGATGCGCCCAAGCCCATGTCACGGTGCGTGTGGGGCGTCGGGTTGTAGTATACGGGCGTTTTTCCACTCCTACACTTTTTAGGCTATCCACCTATCCCTTCATGGCTGCCCCCTTCCTCTTCTACCTATCCTCCCTTTCCACCATGCCCCCCTCCCCAACACTGCTTGCCGCAGGGCGGCGCGCCAGCTTGCGGAGCTGGCTGCCAGCCTCTCCATGTTCACGGATGCCCTGCCAGCCGAACGCGACACCACCCGCAAACGGCGCCAATCAACTATGCATGCAGCCCCGGACCGGCAGCAACCAAAGGCCGCGGCTGCTGCGACTCCGAAGCCGCAGCAACCTAGTAAGCCCCAACCGCCCCAACCGCCCTCGTCATCATCACAACATCACCCGTCACAAGCGGCTCGGCCGCCGCTGGCGCCCAAGCATACGTCGCAAGAACTACACCCTGCTTCGCCGGTGGCTGCTAGCAAACCACAGCAGCAGCAGCGACAGTGCTGGCAGCAGGGGACTGAGAGCAGCGAGGTGGCTGCTACTGCTACTGCAGTCGCCTCGGACCTCCAACCAAGACCTCTATCACCGTCTGTCCTAGGAACCACTGCTACTCCTACTGTTGCGGCGCGGTGCGTTACGGCGGCGGATAGCTCGGGGTTCCAGCCCTCGCTAGTTCCCGCGCCCGCGGCTGCCGCAGGGGTTGGCTCCCCAGGCAGGGTAGGCGCGGCTGGCAACAACGACGAGGGCAAAAGGCAGGGGCGCATGGATGGGGCAGAAGGCGATGGTCGACGCAACCAAGCACGGCCACCGCAGCCTCAGCTGCAGCGGGATCACAACGCCCATGAGACCCTACCCCCGGGTGCCATGCAAGCAGCGGAGCAGCAGCTGCAGCGGTTGGAGCTCGAGGCAGCGATTGCGGAGGCGAGTACGGCAGCGCTGAGGCTGCTGGTGTACGTCATTCGTACTGCTTTCGTACACCTGCCGCTGCGTGACTCGTCTGAACTACATCACGCTTCCGTTGGTCGAAGCGGCGCCGCTGTTCAGCCTCAAGGACACAACAACAACAACAACAGCAGCGGCGGCAGAAGCGGCGGCTGTAGCAGCCCTAACCTCACCACCGCGAGTTCAGTGATTGTGCAGCCATGGAACCAAACGGCGCCACAGCAGCCACTTGACGACCGGCGGATTGAAAGCCGCAGCGGCGGCGGAGCCGTTGCTCCAACCCCCGCTGCTGCTGTTACTGCAACCGCGCTCCTGGATGGGCTGATAGGCGCTCTTTACCCGACGGAGGATCGCTGTACGGCAGCGCATTGGGGCTTCCGTACGTCGTACAGCTGCGCCGGATCCCCCACTTGGAGAGCCCTACAGCGCGCCGCGACGGAGCATCCGCTGACAGCGGCGCAGCTCTGTGTCGTACACGAGGTCTCACAACTGCTACAGATCTCACAACCGCCCCAACCGGCGGCGGGGAAGGGTACGGCCGAGGTACGGCGGGAAGAGGTAGCGGCGCTCGTGGCGCTGGCGGCGGCGCTTGCAAGAGGTTGCCGTACAATGGTGGCGGCGTTGGCTCCTAACGATGGGCAATGGTTCATTCTTGAGGCAGTTGCTGAGGCGAGCAAGAAAATGCTTCTGACGCAAGGTGGGTGCTGCGGGGTGCAGGGGTGTGGGGGGTTCTTGCTGCAATGGGTTTTTAATGCATTGGGAATGTACGTGCGGAGCATGTCGGAAGGAGTTGGGACGCAGGACACTGGCACTGCTTGGAGATGCCCGAGCCGAATCTACAGCGCACAGTGCTCTTGACTGTGCTTGGCTTCCTTTCCTGTCTTAGGGAGGAACCCTTGGTTATGTGGAAGGCATTGCCGTCTACCACCACAGCTCGCATTCTGCCGCTGAGCAACTCCATGCAACTTAGAACCCCCTTCCCACGCACACACACAAGCGCAACATCTTATTTCTTAAACTCCCCCCTACCGCTTGCTAGGCCCCTCATCTGCCGTTACCACCGCCGGCTCTCCAACCAGACAACGCGGACTGCAACGAGGAGCGGGCCCCTCTGGCAGCAGCAACAACGTCAGCGGCGGCGTGGGAGCTGCTGCGGCAGCGCGGTGTCAGCTGTTGGGCGGCTCGGCTGTGTGCGGTCTGGCGGAGCTCGCATGCCTGGGCGGGGAGCCTCAGGACGTCGCTGCGTTTGCAGCCCAGGTGCGTTGGGATTGGCGATGGATACATGTGGTGTATTTCGTTCCACACGTTTGTCGTACACAGAAAACTGACGTCATGCGCGCCGCGTCCCGTGTTCATGCTCTTGTTCCTGTGCTCGGGCATGGTGTTGGCGCAATATGCTTTCCTTGCACGTCTTCCTAAGCAACGAAACCCACATTCCTTGCATCCCCGACCCGTGGGTCACCTCCGCAGCTGCTGTCTAAGACCGCTAACGCGCCCGGCCGGCCATCCCACGAGGGTGGAAATGCTGCTGCGCAAGGCAACACCTCTGGCAGCCCCAGTGGCAGTAGCGGCCGCTCACGTCGGCGACCTCGCATTTGTCCGTACATGCTGAAGTACGGCGCAGCGGCTGACACAACCGCAGCCGCAACCACCTCCGCTACACTGGTGGCGGCAGCATCAGCATCAGCGCCGTACTCATCTGTCGTACAGCGGCCTCCTGCCTGGGTGGCAGAGTGTCGTACGACAGATATGGCCCGTGTCATGCTGACGATGGCAGATGCCGTACGGACGGTGCTGTCGGAGGCGGTCAAGGAGACGGCGGCGGCGTCGGAGGCGGCGGCTGCGGGGCGAGAGGTTGAGGAGCTCTCTATTGAGGTATGTAGGTTGGAGGGAAAGGAGGGAAGACCGGTTGCAATGTGGAAATGATGATGGCGCAATCACCCAAAGGCGTCTCCCAGCCTTTGCTAACCCTGTCCATTTCCTTCCCTTCTCAATTCCTCTCTTCCTTTGCTCCTCGCAGGACCTTCCGGACGCCTTCGCCACCGCCCTCTCCTGCTGCGCCCGCGCAGCTGCCTTGCTGCTGTCCCAGCGCTACTCCTCCTCCTCCTCCTCCAGGAGCAAGACCGCTGCTGGCGCCACTGCTGCTGGTGCTGCTGGCCCTCACGCCGCTGCTGCCTGCCCGGTACTGTGTAGGGGCCAGCCTGTCAGCGGATGTGGGTCGGACCAGCAGCGGCCGCCGCCGCAGCAGGAGGGTGACGGTGGTGTTGATGACGAGCGGCAGCGGCAGGAGCTGCTGGTGCGAGTGGCCCGGCATGTGATGACCGTGCTGCAGGTCGGTGGGGGGGGCCCTGGGGGGCAGGCACGGCTTGGTGTGCCAGCAGCTGTTGTCTAGTGGGGGCTAGTGAGGGGACCAGCTGCCGGGGTGTGCCTACTTTGCGATCATCTGCTGGTGTCCTCTGACCCCGCCGCTACTTGCCTCTCTCACCGCAACCCAAATGTCGAACCCACGCAACCACCAGATGAACGTGTTAACCCGTACATTCTCCCTCCTCCGCACCGCACCCCCGTAAACCCTCACTCCCCGCGCCCCTCTCTTCCCCTCCTCCGCTCCCCCGCCCCCGCAGTGTTCCAAGGCGAGTGCGGCGCTGCTGTGGCACCGCACCCGAGGAGCCGGCCTCCTGCCACGCGCCCCCCACAGCCAACATGATGGCAGCAGCAGCAACCCCGCTGCCGCCGGTGTTACGGCTGGCGGCGGCCGCCGGGGTGGCGGCGGAGGCGGTGGCTCCAGTCGGGGTCGCGGTGGCGGCGGTTCGAGGGCGCAGCGTGAGGAGTTGGAGTCCGCTGCTGCGGTGGCGGGTGGTGGCAGCTGGGAGCTGTGTGCGGTGGTGGTGCTGGGCAGGTACCACCGGGCGGAGGTGGATGCGCTGATAGAGCAGGTGGGAGCAGGAAAGGGGAGGCGGTTGGGTGGTTGAGGATGGTGGTGGTTGGGTGCGAAGAAATGGGAGGTGAAAGAACCAAGTTGGGAGGTGATACTCGCGTGAGGAGACGAGTATGCGTGCCACACTCAACCATACCCCTCGTCTCTCATGCTCCCCACTTCCCCCCACCCCAGTTGGGCTCCTCCCGCAGCGCCCGGCTGCTTCGCTACAGCCGCGCCCTGTGCCGCGAAGCAGCCGCATGGCAGGCGGCCTACATCCGCCTCTACCACGCACTGGACGCCATGACCAGTCCTGGAGCCACGGCTGCTACTGCTACTACCGCTGGAGGCCCGCTGAGCCCTGGTAGCACAAGCAGCCCCAAACCCCGACCTGTCGCGCGAGCGCTGTCGCGGTTGATGCGTCGCGCCGTTGAGCGGGTGTACGGCAAGCAACTCAGCGGAGCCGGCGGTGGCGGTGGCGGTGGCGTTGCCTGTGGCGGGGCTGCGGGTGCTGGTGGTGCTGGGGGCTGGGGAGGCGGCGCTGCGTCCGCGTTGATGTCACCACCGTCACCCTCGCCGTCTTGCTCACCTAGCATGGCCTGCGGAGGCGCTACTACTACCGCTGCTGCTGCTCCTAATCCTGCCACAGCTGCAGGTGCCGAGGGGGCTGCTGCTGCCACGGCGCGGCATGCACTTGGAGGCGACAGTGGTGGTGCTGCTAGCCAGCAGCAGGGCTGGCAGCAGCAGCAGCCGTCGCAGTGGCAGTCGCCGCAGGTGGTGGTCACTCCACGCAACAGGCCAACCCCGGCGGGTGCACCAGGGGTGACTCCATCACAGCAGCAGCAACAGCCTTGGCAGCTGCATTCACAACAGCAGCAGCAGCCCTGGCAGCAGCAGCAGCAGCCGCATTGGACCGCCGCCGCAGCAGCAGCAGGGGGCTGCGGCGGCTCTCGACAGCAGTGGGTGGCGGGTGGCGGCTCACCGTCGGCGGCGGCAGCACCGGCGTCGCAGCTGTTACCGACCGGTACGGTGTGCCGCTTGTGCTTGCTTAATCCACTGTGTGTTGTTGTTGTTGCCGTGGAGGCGAGCGGGTTGTTTTGGTGGCACATGTGTGTATGAACGAGCAGGAAATGCGTCGGGCTGTAGTGTGTCCCCTTCTGCACCGTTTGAGGTCTGTTATGATCTGCTGCTTGCAACTAAGGCTGACCTGAGGTCTACCGGTAGTCATGAGGCATTCGGAACTGCAAGCACCCCGTACATATACGTTCCGTACACCCTACACATATAAAAAGGCAAACCCTGTGAACCCAACCCAACCCTACAACCAAACCTTATGGTGGTTGTGTTGTGTCCTGCAGGTGGTGACGTGGCGGCGGATGGAGATGAGATCCCGGATGAACCGCTGTACTTGCTGCTTGGACACCTGGACGATGAGTCAGATGAGGAAGAGGAGGAGGATCGCGATAATGACCCGGACACATCAACTGACAGCGACAAGCAAGACAATGACCATCATCATCATGGAGACAACAACGGCAAGCAACCTGCAGTTGATGTGGTGTACGCCACGTCGGGCGAGGAAGAGGAGGAGGAGGAAAAGGAGGAGGAGGAAGAATGGGAGGGGCGGCGAGTACGACATGACATCCGTGAAGCGGCTGACGTGGCGTTTGCCGTACGAGGAAAAGCGCGGCGAGCCCAGCAGCAGCATCAGGTGCAGCTGCCACAGCAGCAAATAGAGGAGCAGCGGCATCGGCGGCGGTCCACAGCCCACGATGAGCGACTAGAGCAACCGCAGCAGCAGCACGAAGTAGCTGCGAACGCCGGCAACAGGAAGCAACAACGCAACCAGCAGCAGCAGCAGGGTCGACACCAGCAACCCTCACAAGCGGCGCCATCAGTGCCAATTCCGCCACAGCAGCAGCAGCAGCAGCGACAGCAAGGATCCCAGACGCTGCGGTCGGAACCGCCGCCGTCGCAGCTGCAAACGGGTGAGTCTGCACCCTCGCTTGCACGCTTGGCTGCCGCTCTGGGCATGCGGGCGACAACGGCAGCAGCAGCAGCGGCGGCGGCGGCTCAAACAACAGCGGCTGCTGCAGCTGCGCCTGCCGGCGGCAGCAACAGCCGCCCTCGACGTGTCATCCGTCCGGTGCCCGTCCAAGTCCCCCCGCAACAGCAGCAGCAGCTAGGCACCACACCCCCTGCTGCCCCTGCTGGTGCTCACGGCCGTACAACTGCGGCTGCCGTAGCATCTTCCGCCCTGACGCGGAGAATGTTGGCGGCGCCGACAGAGCCCCCGTACGGCAATTCTGCGGCGGCAGCAGCAGCTCCTGCGGTTCCGGAGGCGGCGGTAAGGGGAGGAGGAGGCCACATTAGGCGCACCGCAGACCCGGCGCCTTTGGTTGGCCATGCTAACGATAGCGCTGACGGCGGCGGTGGCGGCGGTAGGGGCATGACGAACCCGGCTGCTGCAAGCCGGAAGCGCAAGGCTGCATGGGAGCCTCCTCCTCCTGCTGCTGGCACTGGCTCCCGACAGCGCGGGAGGAAAGCCCAACAGGGCCAACCCAGCGACGCCCCCCTTGCTCCTCCGCCCGCCGAGCATGTCGACGCTGCACCCCAAGGCGACGAGGCGGGTGCGGATGCGGGCGGGTCGCAGGGGCCTCGTAAGCCACAGCAGCCAAGGCGGCGGCGGAAGCAGCAGCAGCAGCAGCGGCAGCCCAAGAATGCTTACGTGGCGGCATGCCTGCAGGAGACGTATGGCAGGGACTCGGGTGGGTGTTTTGCTTCGTTCCTTTTTCGCTTTGTAAGACGCGTTGTATCGCTCACAAGCGCTTCACACCGCTCGGCCAGGCCTCATACTGATCCTATAATGTACTTACGTACCCACCTCCCTGCCCATGCCGCATGCAAACACACGCACACATGCACGCATGCAGGTTCCGACGACGACTGGTCCGACCTCGAGGACTTCATCGTGTGTCAGCCGGAGCGAGACTACTCGGCGCTCTTCCACAAAAAGTACGGCTACGCTGCACAGGATGACTCGGAAGAGGAGGAGGAGGGGGCAGCGGCGTGATGGGGCTTTCTGTGGCTGGTTGGTTGAGTTGGTTGTTTCGTTGTGTCTTATGGTGGAAATGTACTGCTGGGGGTTTGGGCTGGGATAGGGAGCTTATCGTTTGGAGGTGGAGAAAGGAATGGGATGGGATGGGTTGGAGGTTCATAGCACGGGCGGTAGGTTACACGTGGCGTGGGTTAACACGCCAAGCATTAGGTAGTTGACGTATCAAGTACAGAAACTCATGACGACGTGGTTGTTAACAAATACACATCTAGGCTCAGACAACAGTTTAACTAGCTATGTTGTTCTTAGGCTGCTGCATGGACTGTGCGGTTGACCCGAGGAATGTAGACCAGACGCCATTTTGATAACATCGCTGTGCACGCTTTGTGCCTCGTTAGGGCCACTGTCAGTTTCCGAAAGGGGGACTTGCAGGTCCCGTTAGCCGCGGGGCAGAGTTTCGAGCCTATTGACTTCTCCAGCATATCATTTGGACGTGTCGTACAGCTTCGACTCTCTTGCTGGACCTTTCAACCTCTTCACGTGCATTGTCGTAGCAACAGGCGGAGGAAATGGCGCTTCAGTCTTACAGATAGGCACCCATGATGTTAGGTGTTTAGGTATTGTTGATACGTAGTAGCCAATTTACGAGGAGTACGGCACATCTTGATGCAAGTGGAGTCCTGGCTTACGCTAGTTGTGAAGGCAGACGTTGTTGGCGTCTGATCTTGGTCTTCGCTATTGGTGATCTGACTTCCTATTTTTCCTGGTCAACCCCTGTTGCATTCTGGCTGAAGATGCTTGTAACCGCCTCTCTTGCTCGGGGCCCTCGCAGCCTCTACAGCAGCTTCACCCACCGTAATCCCCTCCCTCCCCTGCCGCCAGACCAGAGCTTTGCCCCCCACCTCAAAGTTTCCTTACCTCCAGCACATGTTGCCCTGTGTATGGTGTGTTAAGTTCGTTACATGGGCATAATGTGGGGACGCACTACAATCTTGGCCAGGCAGGATCAGGCTTGGGGCTGTTGACGTTGACTAGTATCGGGGGGTTCCTCGTCACAGTTAACAACGAGCGGGTGTAGGGGCTGGGCCATGGGTGAAAGCGGGGTAACGCTGCAAATGCGGCGCAGGGAAGCCGTGGAATTCAGCGGTCTGGACGCTGTGGTCAACTGTACGGCAGATTTTGGGATGATGCTAACAGCCAGAAACAGCTGCCGAAAAGTTTAACTTTCATTTAGTTGTACCTATCTGCTTCTGTTTACCTGGTTTGCTGCCGCTCGTTATTCCACAATGCAACAAACCTTGCGCTGCCACGACCTTGGTCCCCGTCTTGGTCCAAAAAGGCGTCAAGCCCCGCCGAGTTGTAGAGAATCCAACTATATACCACATCAGCTACAGCTGCGTCACATAGCGCCTTTCCCACAACGACAGCCGAACACGAGATGGCTGTGCAAGCAGAGGCTAGCCGCGCAAGCAAGGACAGAGGAGAGCGTTACCCAATTCGACGTGGATGCTGCACCTGAACCACTGGAGAACGGTGTTGATCTTGGGCCGCGCGACGACGACGTAAGACGCCTGGACCTAATTCTCCTTACGGATGCTGCTTAGGGAACTTATCAAATGGCCGACCGTAATCTGCCAATTTTCGTTTTTACCACATATAGGTGCTTCCAAACAGCTTGGCAAACGCAATTGACGAGGCAGCTCGTGCCACAGCAGAAGCCATTCAGCGCGGCAACAACCGATGCCAGGTGCGAACTGTAAATTCCTTGCTTTACACCTACCGTGTGGTCGTCACCATCTGACGGTTCTTAATTATTATGCACACGACCGGCCACGCAAATGACTAACGTCCAATTACTACAACACCCACCTAAGCGTTGCTAACGCCTTCCTTTCGTCCACCTCAGAAGCCCCTTTGCATCTCTCCACGCCACCAACTACCCCATACCCAGCAGTATGATCCAAACTTCCGACCCTTTCCACACCCCTCACGTTCTCCATGCGTCCTCCGTTCATTGCACATCTCACCTGAGGCCTCTGCTCAGCCTCTTTTCTCTCCCCGCAGCACCTCGACACGTACCCACACACACCCTTCCCTGCACCCTTCTCCCCAACTTCCTCTCAGGGGCTTCCAGCCCTGGCTGCCATCCTCCTTATCCTTATTGGCCTCTTACCTCCTCTTAAACTCGGACTGTGTTGTTCACTTATTCGTAATTCCCCCCCTGTTTTACTTCCCTGCAATGCCCAAGGTCGAGTTGCATATGCCGGAGTTCTGGGACCCCATCTCCGGCCCCATCTTCCCCAACCAGGGGGACCAGGAGCGCTTCTGGCGCATGACACGTCGCTTCCTGGAGCAGCTCGCAACCCACCTTAGCTGCAGCGGCTACATTAAAGCGGTAGGTGTACGGCAGGGTTTGTGTACGGCGCTGTGTACGGCAGCAATGTGTACGACAGCTGTGCGTGTGCGTGTGTGTGTGTGTGTGTGTGTGGAGTAGCTTTAGTGGGATCGGAGGCGCCCCACCCAGTCACCCGCATTCCCTGCCCCCAATACCTTTCCCGCCTGCAACCCTCGTCCTCCCCCCTCGTCCGTTTCCCCACAACCCCACCTTCCTCAACCCCCGACAGGTGTATCCAGACGCCGGCGTTGCAGCCATGCTGAGCCACCGCTGGCCGGACAGGGCCTTCAACATCGCGTCGCTCAACGACCGCAGGTGGGGGTGGGGGGCAGTGAGGGGCCGGGGCGGGAGTGAGAGGAGGAGGGTGTGGTGTACGATGAGCGGGATGTGGGCGGGTGGGCGCATGTATCTGCGAGGACGGGGAAAGCGTGCAGGCCCGTGAGGGCCCGCCGCACCGCATGCGCGAGGGAAGTTTGTGTTGCGCGCCCACCCCACAGCTCAGCCAAGTGCCAACCAGACCCGCACGCGACCCCTCCGTGCGTACGGCGTCTCAACACTCATGTGGCACCAGTGCACCCGCCTCCCCTGCCCACCGACCTGCGAGCCCGCCCCCTCCTCCTTCCCCTCCCATACACACCCCTACCCCGACCACCCTACCCCTCCCCCCAGGCCGGTGGATGCGGACGACGAGCTGGTGGTGCTGGCCTGCGTGGACCCGCCGGGGGCGGAGGACTGCATGCGGGTGGTGAGGAGGGGGGCGGATCTTGCGGGCTGGTGGGATGGTGGTGAGAGGCGATGGAGTGATGGGGGCTGTGAAGCACCAAAAGCGTGGCCAACCCCCCGCTGGGTACCCCTACCGGTATGCACCGGTCGGATCCCACCCTTGGCGCCGCATGTGCGCTCGCATCTCCCTACCATCGTCCCTGCCTTGGTTCCTCCTGAAGGCTGGGATGTGTGCGATGCGGTGTACGGCAGGTACGGCAGGTTTCGGAGCAGGACGAGCAGGCGGGGACCCCGGGGCGTCCCGTGGTGCTGTTCAACCAGCGAATGTCCAGGTGGGGAAATAAAGAGGGGAGGGGGCGGGGTTTGCAGTGTCAGGGGTGTGTGGCAGCGCTGCTGCGCCCACACCGACGCAAAGTTGGGTGATGTACCCGCTCCGGTCCAGGAGGGCGCCAGTGGTCTCCGCACCTAGCGGAACAGCAGGGGCAGGGGCAAGTGCAAGTGCACTGAAGCGCATCTCCCCCAAACACGCTGATTGCCCAAGACAGTCCACTCAATCCTACTGCTGCCCTTCCCCTTCCTCTCCGTACACTGCCTTACCCTCACTGTTGGTTCCTGAGGCTTCCTTCCGTTCCTCCCTGACCCCCTTCCCTCTCTTCCCCCCTCCCCCCCCCCCCTGACCCCCTTCTCTCTCTTCCCCCCCCCCCCCCGACCCCCCCTCCACCCCCCTTAACCCCCCCCTCTCAGCGGTGATGTGGGCCTGGGTCTCAACTCGCGGCGCATCCGCAGCACCTTCCTGCGCGACTTCACCATCACCTACAGCCTGAGGTCCATCGGGGACGTGGGCACCGTGTTCCGGCGCTACCCGGGGCTGTGGAAGGTGAGGAGGGGGGGGAGGGGGGGTCGGAAGGGGGGAGGGAGGGAGGGAGGGGTAAGGAGAAGAGGAAAACCTGGCATGCAACATGTATAGGCTTCACCTTGCCGACCTAGGTGTGCGGGGTGAGGGTGCCCGCCATGGGACAGCCACTGGACCAGCCGCTACCACAAACGTGTGCGTGTTTCGCAGCATGGAGGGTTGGTCACTTTCAACTACCCTCACCTGCCGGTACCCCCGCCCCTGCCCCCACCGCCGCTGCTGCCGCTGCCCCCGCCCCTGCCCCCGCCCCCAGGTGTTTGTGGAGGAGGAGTCGCTGCCGGGGCGCTACCGACTGATCCAGGAGTCACCCTCGCGGCCGCAGGGTGGGTGGGGAGGGGGAGGGGAGGCGAGGGGAGGGCTCATTCATGGGTTCTGTTGCGATGTGTGCGGGCGGCTGCTGCTGCTGCTACCACGGAGTGCCTGATCGACTGCCGCTGCGGGTGTGACACGGTGTATGTATCGCACCCAGCTGAACTGATTCGACCATATCATGATGTGTGTTGGTCTGTAGGGAGCTGCTTAACCGCACCAGTTGTGCATGTGTCCCGCAGGTGAGGCGCTTACCTTCCTCATCCGTGAGGCGCTGTCCCCCTCTTCCGGCGGTACGGCAGGCGAGGGCGAGGGGGCGGGCGGCAAGCAGCAGCCGGGGCTGGTGGAGCAGCTGTCCCGCACCCTGACCTCCCTGCACTACTTCATGAGGTCACTGCGGAACTGACACAACACGGCTGCACTGAACGGGCACGAGCACGGCATGTATGTTACACAAGCATGTATGAAGCGGCATTATGAAACCGTGTTGTAAGGCAATCAGGGAAGCGGGGGTCTCTTGTGGGGCCATGGGATGATGAGTGAGAGAAGAGGGCATGGGGCTGGGGTGTTGAGTGAACGAGCAGTCGGGCGTAGGGTGTGGGTCGGAGCACTACACCGCACCCAGGTTCACTAGGAGCAGCATTACAGCACGAGAGGAGTATGTAGTAGACCGAGGTGGAGAGGAGAGAGTAACGTCTAGTGTGGCTTAAAGCCGTTTGGGTGCGGGTGGGTGATGAACGAGGAGCTCCCGGAATAAGGTTGCGTGTGCGGTAAGGTATGCTCGACGGCTGTGACACATGGGACCAGTGTCCGTGTGGTTTAGGTGTGTCATTGCGGGTGTGGACAACACTATTTTTCACCAATCCCCACGCCATGGGAAACCAGTCACGCATGACGAACTTACGAACACCCGCCAATGAGTGACGATGATGTAATGGTTATGTTGCATGGTGGGGGCACTATCAGGGCTGTCATAGGCCATGTCAGGCCTAGACGAGCTGGAGACCCATAGAGCATGGACCCCTGCCCCACTACTGCGTGAAGCCGCCCTGAAGCACCCGCAACAACTGCGATCCCAACAGCATCATCTACACATACCGTACAGCCGCCACTCACCAGCATGGGATGACAGCGCCCTCGCGTGTTCGACCCCAGGCAGCTTTTACCCAAGAGGTCACTGTGGGTCTTACTGGGGACCAACCTGAGTCCTTCCCAACCCCTATCTAGACATCCGTCCATACATGAGCGCCGCTTTGGAGGACAGCAGCATGCTGTACATGCATGCATGCAATGGGATAGCCTACCACAACACATCCCATCCCTCTACGCATCCTAGCCCTCCACATGTCCCCAAAGCCCAGCTCCCTCAACCACACACGCCTCAACCCAAGTGTCAACTCCGCATCACAACTCCACCCCCTCAAGATAGCCACGCAAGCTGCCAGTTGCAGCTAGTGTTACAGTGTGTCTGTACGAGCGAGGGGGGCCAAGGACACGTTGCCATCTGGCAGGCGGGATGCGGGATGCTCTCCTGCCTCCCCAGCGCTGCATCTGCTCCGGAGGGGCGCCAGGTGGTCACCGTTTCCCTCCGCGACCGGCGCTGCGACACCTGCACCTGCCCCTGCTGCCCCTGCTGCAGCTGCTCCACGCGCCCCTCCGCCTCGCAGTACAGCGCCAGGCGGCCGATGAGGGAGGCGGGGTGGCGGCGGGCGAGCTGCAAACTGCCCACCACCACCAGCATGCGGGAGCACCTGGGGTGGGGTGGGGGGGGGGAGGAGGGGAGGGAGGGAAGCAGGGTTAGAGTGCATGTGTGCGTGTGGATACCCGTGCGCTAAGTGGCACCCGCACCCATGCATGGACGCCACCCTCACACCGCAGCCCCGCCCCTTTGTGTTTCCATTATCCCCCGTCACATAACCCCGCCAGTAACCCCTCACCCCCCTCCCCCACCTCGTGAGCATCACGTTGACCCGCCGGTCGTCCTGCATGAAGCCCAGCGAGTCCCGGCAGCGCACCAGGCTCACCACCACCACCTCGTCCTCCCGGCCCTGGAAGGTGCTGCGAAGCGGAGCGGAGAGGAGCGCAGGAGGAGGCGTTAGCGAAGAGGAGGAGGAGGAGTCAGCGAAGAGGAGGAAGAAAGAGTGGAACATCCGGACACTCCCGGAAAAGGAGGGGGGGCGAGCCTGCATTGTACAATGCATCGACAGCTCTTCTAACGCGACCTACTCGATGTTGTACACTCGGTCGGTGCCGTCGACGAAGCCATCGCTGCTGCTGCCGCTGCCGCTGGCGCCTTTGCTGCCGCCACCACCACCTTTGGCGGCTCTGCCGCCGGCGGCGGCGCTCGAGGAGGCGCCACTCGAGGAGGCGCCACACGAGGCCGCTGCTGCCGCCGCCGCTGCTGCATGCTGCCCGCCCTGCTTCTCCTCCGACCGCCTGCGCAGCTGCGCCTTGTTGACCTCCCTCTCCAGCTTGCAGCGCTGCAGGTCGTAGCCGGTGAGGATCTGAGGGCGGGTGGGCGGGCAGGCGAGAGGGCAGGCGGGCGGGTGACCGGCCGCATGATGGGGATTAAAGATTGGAGGGTATGCAGGGGCGGCTGCGTGGCTGTGCGCACTGCGGAACAACTGTTGAAGTGATTACACAAGGTACTCTGGCTCCCCATCCAGCCCGGTTCGCCAACCCCACACCTGTCCTCGACCCCGCCCCCGCCCTCCCCCGCCCCTACTGCCCCCTACCGTCCAGCTGCTCTCCTGCAGTTCCCGCTTCACCAGACCAATCGCAGCCGCCAGCTCGGGTGGGTTGCAGCAGCTGGGGCCGCCCTCGTGGTCCTCCCGCCCGCCCGCCACATCGACCCAGCGTACGGCGGGCCTGAGGTGAGGGACGTGCGGGTGGGTGGGAAGAACAATACCAAATGTGTTGAATGGGGATGGTGCGGTGGGAGGCGTCAGAATGTATAAGCGAGCAGGAAACTGGGGGTTTCACTCTAGTATTGTACAGCAGGCAAGAATGGAGCCTAGCGGTCCTAGCGAGAGGCAAATCTTTGATGGCTGCCAGAAAACCAAACGCAAAAAAGGTTTAGTAGGAGAGGCTAGGATGGGAGTCATCCCTAACCAAGTGTTTAGGACCGCGTGTGTGTAAGCCGCGCATGGCTGCTAGAGCTTACCAACGCTTGCACGTTACGGCACCAGACTGCAAGGCGTTGCCGTACATCTCCTTGCTAATGAACTTGCACAGCGCTGGAGGCAATCTGTACGACACTGAAAGCATTAGCCGCCGTACAACACCGCTACAGCCGCCACTGCTACCGACGCCACCTCCATTGTGCTGCAGCGCCGTCGCGGGCGCCGACACCGACGGCGGCGGAGCCAGCTGGGGCCCCACCAGGAAGACGCCGGGTCGCATTCGGGGAGCGGCGGCGGCGGAAGAAGACGAAGCGCCGGACGAAGTGGCGACGGGACGTGGCGAGAGGTGATTGAACATGCTGGGTATGTGCGCGCCCTCCCACTCGCTGCCGAAGGGGGGAAGCTGTTGGTCGTCACCGAACAGCGAGAGGCGCCTGTAGGTGCGCAGCATGTGGGCAAGGCAACACACCGGCGGGGTTCCGGCCTATCACGGATTCTAGAAACACAGGACGGCAGGGGCTACCAATACACAGGCACCAGGGCTTGGACCACTATTTCAAGCAGGGTGACTGAGCGCCAGCCGATGGCACATGTCCAAGCTGCTGCTCGAGGCAGGATGTTCTTCATGCCTTCATGCCGTACATACAGGTACTACACGTTTAGAAGCCCGCTAGCTCGGCCCCCGTGCCGTACCTACCTGAGGCTGCTGCCGTACATCGACAGTGGCAGCAGCAGATCCCCCATGTAGATCTGAGATGCCTCATCCACAACCAGATGCGTCAGTTTCTTTCCGTGCAAGGCTGTGTCGCGGAAATTTTTGTTTGCTAGCATTGACACGGTGGTGACGTACACCTGGGTAATGGAGGAGAGTGCAGGAGAGGCGCAAGACATGAGGGGGCAAGAGGTTTGCAGCTACGACAGGCTAAGATGCATAATTGCTACCGAGCCTAGACTCATTTCTTTCGCTCCATGTTTGGGCTTGCTTGGACAGCACCGTCACATGCAGCGGAGCGACCGCACGCAAGCAAGCCAGCACCCATCGAGCCCTGCCCACACCATCCCACGCCCTCCTCCTTCACTCCCATTCCCCCGCCCTCGGCTGGGATCGGGAATAGGTGGGCAAGCATGCAACCCAACCCACTGCGGAGCCGTACGGGCCTTACCACCCACATGGCTGCCCTCACTCACCCCCCCCCATCCCGTCCGCTTGTCATTCGTCCGCTTGTTTGCTAGCATCATAACACCTTGAAAATTCTTCTTTTCCCCATCCCCCGGCTCACTCACCCGGACCTCCTCCAGCCTCCGCTGCAGGCCCGTTCCGCTGAGCTCATCGCTCGTGACCAGCACCGCCTCCAGGGCGCCCCGGTACTGCTCCTCGTGCCACTCGTAGTGGAACTCGTGCGATACGACCAGCCTGCCAAGCGCGGAGAGAAAAGGGAGAAGGATGAGGAAAATGTGGGCCTACCAGGAAAGGTGAGGAATAGCATGTTGGTAGTCCGCGGCGGCAGCATTAACAACGCTTGCAGCAGCATGCGCGACCTAGCGTGCGTAGGCAAGTTGGAAATACGTTGTAGGCAACAACATGAATGAGCGCATGCATCGATGCATGCATCGATGCCCGCAAGAAGCCGTACACGCTTCTCGCTCTCGCACCTGAACTCCTTCGGCCCCATCTCCCGCTTGAGTAGGGCCAGCGCGATGTTGCGTGCGGCCACATTGCTGCGAGCGACGCACACCAGTGCTTCCGAGGTGGTGCTGTGGTGGTTCTGAGCACCACCCCCACCCCCACCGCCGGTGTTTGTGGGGGCGCCCTTGCCTCCAACGCCGCGGTTGTCCTTGCCCTTGCTGTTCTTTCCGTCCTTGCTGCTGGTGTTGCCCTTGTCGGCGTTTCCGCTGCTGCTGGTGTTGCCGCTGCTGCCGCTGCGACCGTTCATGAGACGGGTCCACATGTTCACCGCGTGCGAGATGACGGTGGTCTTGCCTGCAGCAGCAGCACACCATGACGCGTGGGTCACCGGAGCTTCCGGGCTAGAACAATATTTGCCGTCAATGTTGAACCACCATATGTTGCCCCCTACCTTCCCCACATACGCAAGCGCACATAAACCCGCCCACACGGTTAGTGTCTTTTTTCTTTACCCAACCACCCTACCACACCCCACCCAGGCACCCTACCACACCCCACCCACACCCCACCCAGGCACCCCCCCACCCCACCCACCCGTGCCCGGTGGCCCCTGCACCAGCTGCACGGCGCTGTCCCCCAGCAGCAGCTCCTGGATGGCCTCGTGCTGCGAGGGGTTGACGGCAGCCGCGTCCCGCAGCCCGCGCAGGTGAAGCTGCACAACGGCTCGCACGGTCGCAGGTACGGCGGTGCTGGTGCTGGCGGTGGTGGTGGTGGTGGTGCTGGCTGGGGGTGTACTGCTAGGGGTTAGCAAGTCCTTGCGGCCCCTGCGGCCCCCGCCGGACCCCGCCTTCTGTGCGGCGAGGGCAGCAGAAGCAGCCGCCGCTGCTGCTGCTGCTGCGCTGCGGCTACTGAGGGCCGGGGCGACACCTGATCCTCCTCCTCCTCCTCCTCCGCTGCTGCTGTCGCCTCCGCCGCCAAAGATGGCGGAAGCCAGCTGGCAGTGTTTCAGTGATGCGGCTCCTCGCATCAACTGCATCACGAAGGAAGGTAGGTGGGCAGGTAGACAGGTACAAGGTTCACAATGTACGACAAACCAGGAGACTCACGGTGTGCCAAGGGATGCGGTAGTTGTCAGGTACTAACCGCGGGCCCTGGCTGCAACAACCGAATGCAACCCCCTGGCAGATTGCTTCACGCAGGCGGCCCCTATATATCTGCGGCC